AACACCATCCAAACAACCTGAAGATTTTGGAAACCTACCGCCAAGTAACTTTAACAGTTCTGCACGTTACAATCTGTATTTTAAAATGTTTCTCAGATGATCCTAACACTTAGCTAAGTTTCAGAATTATTGCCTAAGCTTTAGAAGAACTTTAAATGGTGTGGCCTTGCCCTTTAAGTCACAGCAGGCTATCAAAAGAATTAAAAAATGATGTCATTTTATCATTACTAACAAAAAACACGAAAACCACTGTAAGGGAAAGGAGGAGAATATTTCTAAAAGTATTATGCCCCTCCTTGTTAGGGTAGAGCTCCCTAACACTGTTATTTTATAAATTGTGAAACAAAAAATTTGTATGTGTATATGGGGGAGAAAATCCCCAGGAAGAAACATTCAGGGCAGAATACCCAAAATCCTCACTTACTGTGCACTTAATCGAAGGTGATACAATTATTGTTTCAATATTTAGTTCTTTAAAAAAAATTACTTAGTTAAAATCTGGTTGTAACATACCTGTTCTTTCTTCTAATTTAGCATACTTTGGAGTATTACACATATTACACTCTGATCTTCTGGCCCAATTCACATTGCTGCAACTTTAGAAGTGAAAAATATCAAATTAGTAGGCTATAACATAGGTACGTATCATATTTTTAGGTATTTTAGAATTTTAAAATAAAAACTAGGATGAAACTATCATAAAGAAATGTTTATTAAGTGGTAATGTAAACAAAGAAAATGTACAATGGTCTGAAGAGTAAATGTGGGTTTCAACAACAAACTGAACCATTTAACCAGAGAAGCAAAATTTATGCAGTATGAAGTGCCCTTGTAATTTTGAGAATTAAACGATAAACTATAACCACAGGTCAAGTATCATTAATCCACAAATCCAAAATTCAAAAAGGTTCCAAAATCTAAAACCTTTTGGAAGAGGACATGACTCAACAGAAATGCTCACCGTAGCATTTCAGATTTTCAGATTAGGGATGCTGAGCCCACAAACATTTCAGATAAGTGATACTGAACCAGTATAGAAATTCTGATGCCTTATGAAAAAATTATCACTTTAAATTAAAGGCTCCAGTAACTTCTCAGTCTCTGAATTTACCTTAAAGAGTATGGTTATATCCTATACATAATGTTAATTCTTTTTTTTTTTTTTTTGAGGAATCACTTCAAGCACTGAATTCCACAGCATACCAAATCCAGTGACCAAATCTGTTGCTGGAAACTTTTCCAATACAAATTTGTAATCTAGCAGATCAGAAATTTATTTAAGACTCTCTTGTCGGGAATAGTGGCTCATGCCTTGCCTATAATCCCAGCACTTTGGGAGGCCAAGACAGGCCGAACGCTTGAGCTTAGGAGTTCGAGACCATCCTGGGTAACATCGTAAAATTGTCTCTACCAAAACTACAAAAAATGAGCCAGGCATGGTGGCACGTGCCTGTGGTCCCAACTACTCAGGAGGCTGAGGTAGGAGGACTGCTTGAGCCTGGTTGGTAGAGGTTACAGTGAGATGAGATAGCCCCACAGCACTCCAGCCTGGGTGACTGAGTGGGACCCCATCTCAAAAACAAAAAACACGAAACAAAAAATACAAATGAACAAAAAGAGAAATTTATTTAATACTCTTTTCTTATTTAGTCCTCTTTCAAACACATGGGATTCATCTGCATAGAGAAAAGATGGAAGTTGGAAAAATCAATAATTGAATTGAATCTAAATCCAAAAGTAAAAATCATTATGAAACCTACCTATAATTTGGAATAATTACTTATGGCACACAACTATGACACCTATAATTTGGAATAATTACTTATGGCACACAACTTATGACTCTGACATTATTTTGTAATAGATAAAATGAGTTTTGCGGTGTATTTCACACTAACAATACAGTCTAAAAATGTGGGGGATTTTTCATTAACAAAGAAGTAGGCCTTAGTACTTTTAAGTACTGCCACCCTGCAACTGGTTGTTAGCTCACCATAAATATTTGTTTACTGGTATACACAATCCATCATAGTAGCAACTATAACAACTAAAAAATGTAAAGAATAACTTAAAATGTCTTTATACTATACTTAAAGATGAGATTGAATAACAATCAACAAACTTTTGATTTAAAGGGTTACCTTGGCTTGTCAATGTGACTAATAAGAGCTGGTAATATAAGCAAGTAATGGCCAGATCTATTTTTTTTGGAATAAAGAGCAGACAATAATTTAAAACACATACGTTTTACATTGCCAGTCATTAGCACTAAATAGGCCTCGGCTCTTTTCCGCAAGTGTCTTTCCTATTTCAGTGCCTCCAGCTTTCATCATCTTGGCCTCAGTTGTCTTCTCTGAAAATAGAAAAATCATGAAAGATGAACCTGGAGAAACAAAGAAATGAAGTATAGACAGTATAAACAGAATCTTCCTTAAATACTTACCCCGACCACATCGATTACAACTGGTTCTTCTAGCAAAGTTTACATTTCCACATCTGAAACAGAATAAAAAGCATTTATAAAAATTTAAATTTGTAAAATTTTGCATTTTAATGTGTCCTCACTACATATCTGGAATCCAGAACTTCTAAGCCATCTTAGTCACGTTAATGTCAATGTCACCTACCAAAAAACTCCTCACAATTTAGTGGGGGGAAAATATTAGATCTGGAGTCACAAATCCAGGATAAGAAATCCCAATCTACCATTTACTAGTTATGTGGTCTTGGTTACGTTACTTAGGATCTTCGCCTCAAGTCCTCACATTAGCACATATCATTAGTTATAATCTCTTTACAAAGCTGGAAGTGAGAGTTTACTCTACTTCAGTAATTACTTACAAGGTACCAGGGAGTTTTAAACCCTAGGAGTGGACCAGTGAGGAAAAAACCCTACAAATCAAGGAGGGCTTCATGCATCTTAATGAAATTATCTTTTTGCAGGTAGCAGGTAGGATGGTAAGGAATCAAAGATGATAGGTTGCAGTGACTAAAAATACAAAAACGTTCAATAATTATAAGTAAACTGAGTTTTACAGGGCATTTCTCAAACCTGAGACTTAGCTGAGAAAAGTGACACAACCACCAAACCCAATCAACTCATGTAGTACAGCATGACTTTATGCTTATGCTCAACAAACTCAAACCTAAAGAATTACTGGTTCACTCACATGACCTTAGTAGTGCACATGTACATGCTTAAATTTTTAAAGGCTGATTTTTAAAGTCCTATACTAGAATACAACACAGATGTGAAGTATGGGATGAAACACCCCTAAAAATAATCCTTATGACTCCACTAAGTATGGAAAATATACTCTGAAAACGTCTCCTGGATTTATACATCTTGTACAAGCAACATTCTATTCATGTATTTGTTAATGAATTGAAATGCACTCTCCTTGATTCCTACCTCAAATATCTACCTGTGCTGTCATTAAAGACACTGAAAAAACCATATTATTTTACAGGTAACAACAAAAGTCAGAAGTTGTTCTTTTTAATATTTTCAATAATGTCTTTCCACTCAGAGCAATACTATTCACAACATATAACTTTGGTTCTATTCAATATCATTTGTTAGGCTTGAACGACTCCTTCAGGTCACTGTAATATCAAATTACTATCAATAGCTACCAATTAGAATTTTCATTGTTTACATACCCTACCCATGTTATTTTATGTATTAATTATAAAAAAGCAATTCTATTCTTATTTTTTTTAGCAGTTAAATAAGTTATAGAATTTTAATTAAACCCAGGTTTGTTCCAAAGTTTTTGCTCTTTACAATCAAAACATCTTTATGGCTAATTTAGGTACAAGAAATAAAAGTTTTTATCTGAACATGAGCTGTACATTAAATTATTTTCCATGTTATTTCTGAATAGATACACCTATCTGTGCACCCTTCAAAAAAAAATCTGATTGACAATTTAGTAGAGCACATTGGCTTCTGCAACAATGTCAAAAAGCAGGGCCACTAACACATGTGCTTCACTGCTGCAGGCATCTTAAGGGCTGAATAGGCAAAAACACAGGCCTCTTCCCTCCTTTTCGGCTCTAAGGAGGCGAAAAGCCCAATTCTTGTGGAGAAATTAATGATCGACAAAAAAAATGGTCAGAATTTCCCAAACCAGTTTGGGGAAACGGGAAAAATAGCACGGAAGAAAAGTTTGAGGAAAAATACAAAACAAGGTGAACTATAAGAGGCAAACGGACGAGTGCGAGAAAGCACTATTTTCCGTGAACAAGAATAAAGTTCTGCAGGGAAAAGTCACGTGGGGGAGATTCAACACCAAGCTGGCCTGACGGAGAGATTTCCTATCGCTGAAAGCTGGCCGGGGCGGGGGTGGGGTGTGGGGGCAAAAAGGTAGGCCATCTCGCACTCTAAAGAGAGGCCACCTTGGAGAGGTAATGTCGGGGAAACGCTGGAGACATATCTAGAACAAAGACTCCGGGAAAGACCTCTCTCATGAGGAGACTGGGATCCTTCTTCCCGCCCGGGAACTGGCGGTTCGCCGCCTCAACCCTTCTTAAGGCACGGGAAATCATAGAAAAGGAAAATGCCGAACGGAACTGGGAAAGCCTCCACTAATAAACTTCGCCCCAATTCAGGACCCTTCTTGAACTCACTTTTTGTCAGGGCAAATCCAGTCCCCGTCACTGACTCGGAAATTCTTGGTCGACATCTTGAACGCCACCAGCACAGCCACCCGCAGCTATGTCTTCACGGCAGAAAGCGGGCCGGGGACTTTCGGCAACTCGGGGCTGTCCCAACACCGCCTGACTCCCGCCTACTACGGCGTCAGGGTTTGACAACGAGGGCATTGGTCAGGAATTCAGCTTGAACATTGTCGTCCATACTAAGAGGCCTGCGCTATTGTTTCTTAGATGAAAAAGTTAAAATACAGATGCCCTTTCTAGCACTAAACTAACAGGCGCCACAAGGACAACCCAGGCAGGAGGCCTTCGTGGCACTGGAAGCCTCGGAGAGCCCCCTACAGGTGGGAGGACCTTAAAGTAAAGTACTTCCGCTTCCATAGGCGGAGCTGGAAAGGTAGAGGCGGAAGTGACTGATCAATTCACGGGGTGTGAGGTTTGTTTGTCTCTTCAAGTTTTTAGAGAAATTATTGTACTAAGGCACAAGAATTCTGTTATTTCATACACATAGGATATCATTTAGAGACCCTTTTTTTAAAAAATACATAAATAGGTGTAACAGATAAGTAAGCAACTTATACGTGGGAACCACCTGGTAATTTAAAAACTGAGATATTGCCAACATTGTTTAAATTACCAGTGTCTTTCCTGATTCCATCCCATTACTTTCTTCCAGAGATAATACTCTCCCATATTTGGGATTTATTTTCTTGCTTTTTAAAAATTTAATTTATGTACATTGTTAGTCCAAATTGCACCATTTTTGTAATCCCCCCTTGCCATTTTACAGGCCTTAGTCAAAGTGAAACATTCCACGAGGTTCGGGCGTTGAGAAACAGCCTGCCTCTTATTATATTCTGCTGGGAGAAAGTGCAGAGAACACCACATTCCACCAGAGCAAGGGCCAGAACCGCCTCATCCTGGGAACACTTACCAACATTTTCCCATGCAGCAGGCCATGGGCCCCCAGACCACACCAACTTAGGCCTGTAAATCACCCCAGCCTGTAAGTAGCAGTGGGCACTGTCATTAAGCTGGTCTCCCATCTCTGTAGGTCGTATGTTGGTTTTAAAGCCTGCGTTAAGCCACCCTCTCTTTCTTTAACACTGGCCTTCCTTTCAAAACCTAACACACATGTAAGTTTAATTTGATGAGCTGTATCAGGATAGTTGGTTATGTGCTCTTTTTTGTTCATGCAGCATTATGCTTCTAAATTAATCCTAGGTAATGGCATGTAGAAGTGTATAGGTGTAGTTCTGTTATTTTCATTGATGTATACTGGTAATATTCCTTGTGACAGTTTATTCCTTCTGTTTACCAGACTTGGTTTTACAAACAACCCTAGTATGAGCATTCTTATGCATAGATTATGGTATATAAATGCAAGATATTTTTTTAGAACACAGCATGTAAGTCATGCTTCACTTAATGATAGGGATATGTTCTGAGAAATGCCACCTTCTGCAATTTTGCTGTTGTGTGAACATCGTAGAATGTACTTACGCAGGCCTAGCAGGTATAGCCTACCATATACCTAGGCTATATGGTATAGCCTATTGCTGCTAGACTACAAACTTGTATAACATTTTATTGTGCTAAATACTGTAGGCAATTGTAACACAGTATTTGTGCATCTAAACATAAAAAAGGTACAGTAAAAATATGGTATTATAATCTTATAGGACTACCTTTGTATATGTGGTTCATCATTGACTGAAATGTTTTTATGCAAGTGTGACTATTTAGGAGAGGAATTGTTCAACTACTTTCTGGTTATAATTGTTGCTTTAAAATCTGTATTATAACATTTTGGTCATCTAGGAGTTGGCAGGTATTGATTATATTTTCCCTTGCAAATTGCGCACATTTTTCCATTTCTTTTATGCTGTGTATTTATAGATTTTATCCAGGACAATTTGAATATTATGTTGCAAAGACTGAGTCCTGTTAAACGGCCTTGAGGAATGTTGCTTTTTATTTTGTTTTAGGAGGCAATGGATTGAATTTGTTTCAGGTCAAAAGTTCAGTCTCATCTCCTGTGAGTACTGGTTCCATATCAGCTGGGTTTTCAAAGGCTTTGTTATGCTGCTTTGAATCTCTGCTATACTCAGAGATTATTTGGGCATGTTAGCAGTAGTTTAAATTGAAATTCAGTTTTGCTATGCTATTTTGTGTCTGTCCTGCACATGTTTGGTTTAGGTGTGAACCCAGAACTTGTATGGGTTCATACATTGAATTAGGGGATCCTCTTCTCTAGCTCTCTCCTCTTACATTCCTCTTCCTTTGTCTTGCAAGATCCTCTGGCCAGAAATATGAGGTTCCTCTTGGAGTTTAAGCCACCTGGCATAGCAGATGACTAGGGCAGATTCTGAGACAAAGTAGTGAGAGAAAAGAGAGAGGAAAAAATGTGGATTCCCTCTACAACTCTTCAGACCACAAAGATCTCCTTTCCCACTTTATTTGTCCAGAAAAACAGAGCTTTTTTAGTATTTAGATGTCCAAGCCTAGGCCCTCACTCTTGGGCCAATGCCGAGAGAGAGAGAGAGAGAGAGATAGAGATAGAGAGAGAGAGAGAGATAGAGAGAGAGAGAGAGAGAGAGAGAGAGAGAGAGAGAGAGAGAGAGAGAGAAAGAAAGAAAGCGAGAAAGAGAAAGAAATTAAGTATTCCCCCAATAACTTCTGGCCCACAGAAGCCTTCTATCCCCATTCATCTGGCAAGAAATACAGGTTTCTGTCAGTTTTTGCTGCCACCATAGTTTCACTAGGTGTCAGGCCTCAAGTCAAAAGCTATGAGAAAAGAGGAAAAACAAACACACATAACATTTCTCCAGGTTTTCATTTTCTACTCAAGTTTACCTGTTTTTGACTGTTTGTTTGTTTGTTTTTCCAGAGTCTTGAGGTAGTTGCTTTTGGTATTTTTTCTTGGTTTCTCACTGTAATCAATAGGAAGGGTAGGTTATTGTGGGCTTACTATGTTTTAGTTGGTACCGCAAGTCAGGGGAATGCAAATTAAACCATGTAGTACCATTATGCATTCATCATACTGACTAAAATGAAAAATTCAGACAATACTAAGTGTCGGAAAGCATGTAGAGCAAGTGAAATTCCCATACATTGCTGGTGGAAGTATTACTTGATACATCTACTTTGGAAAATGTCAGAATTATTAATCTGATCATTTTTATACACTATGACCCTGAAATTCCATTCTTAGGCATATTCCCAACAGGAATGCACATAATGTTCACTGACGATGTATATAATAATGTTCATAGCTGTGCTATTCAAAATAGCCCAAACTGGAAGCTTCTCAATTGCTTAGAAATGGTAGCCTGGGGCAGGGCGCAGTGGCTCACACCTGTAATCCCAGCACTTTGGGAGGCCAAGGCAGGTGGATCACGAGGTCAAGAGATCGAGACCATCCTGGTCAACATGGTGAAACCCCGTCTCTACTAAAAATACAAACAATTAGCTGGGCATGATGGCACATGCCTGTAATCCCAGCTACTCGGGAGGCTGAGGCAGGAGAATTGCCTGAACCCAGGAAGCGGAGGTTGCGGTGAGCCGAGATCACGCCATTACACTACAGCCTGGGTAACAAGAGCAAAACTCCATCTCAAAAAAAAAAAAAAAAGAAATGGTAGCCTGGATAAATAAATAGTCACATATTTACACAGTTGGAATGTTATATACAGTAACAAGAATAACAAATTACAATCATATTATTGAACAGTATTTATTTCACTCACCAATTCAGTCTTAATTGAAAAAAAAACCAGACACAAAATGGCATGTGCTATATGATTCCATTTACATGAAATTCAAAAGGAGCAAAACTAATCTTGGATAGTGATCACCCTTGGGAGTAGGAAGGAGGTAGTGACTTGATGGTGTCAATAGGAATAATAGATGCCAGAGCTGGTAAATGACATGCAGTTGATACAACAACAGTTATTCAACTGTACTAACTGTAGTTAGTAAAATTTTTCTGGGAGAATTGTGTGTCAAGAGAAAAATCCTCTATACTAAGTCTGGGATAACAATGAACAATATGCATGAATACATCTGATAATGATCAGAAGAGGTTATTTGAGTTCAAGGACTATAGCTGAGTTTCAAAGAGGAATATTTCTACAGAAGAAATTTCTTTCAGCTATCCTAATTTGAAAGAAAAATTCTACCCATTCCCTTTATTCTGATTATATGCTCACCAAACAGCCCTCTGATAATTTGTCTCCTCTCCCAAACATACTTAACCTTCCATGGTGAAATACCCAGAGTGAATTTATCCATACAAGTTATTCTTCTGGATTAAGCTCTTTTTTTAGATTGATAAATTGGCATCCTGAAATGCCTATCAGTTGTTTATGGGTCCTCTTTAACATGTTGGTCCCCAGGAATTAGCTCTGGTAGAAGTGGTAAAGTTGAGTTTCTGAACCTACAAAGCTAAGAATCTGGCTCTAAATATTGTAATAGGGCTTACTCTGCTTGCAAGTAACAAAAATAAACATAAAATGACTTAAATAACAAGAAGGGTGAGCATATTATAAAGTTCCCTTTGATGTTTGATAGAATGCCAGAGCAGGAGTGCAGTAGTTCCAGAAAGAGCCTAAAAGAAGCTATCCTATATTCAAGCAGCACACTTTCTCTGTCTCTGCTGTACACATTATTCTTTCCTCAGAGTAGCTTTTCTGTTACTTAGTTCAGAAGACAAAATTAATACTGCCCTTAGACCTGGGCAACCGGGGATCTTAACCTGGTCCTGCACTTGGCCTTCCTTGAGATGCCTTAATTCCCCTTGGATGTCTTGGACCATCCAGCAGGACTCCTGGAGTGAAAACATAGTACTGTGTAGGTCCTGGGCAATGGAAGTCCTGAGATGTTCTATTGCTCTTGGTGGTAGGGACAAGCCAGGTCAACAGGACCTGTTGGGTGGGACACCCTCAGCCTAGAGAAATGTTATTGCCTTCTTTGTTTCTTCCCTTCAGGCCCTCCTGACCATACTGCCATCTTACCATACTCGGGGTCCACCATTGCCCCAGGATCTCTGGGACTAGCATCTGTAGGGTGGCCTAGGGCTGGATGGCCCTGCCAGTTCCTAGAGAGCAACTTTGGGAGCCTAAGCTACCACTGCATGGGGCATTTTTTATTTCATGGAATCTCCTAAGTTTGGTCCACCAGAAGGATGCTTTTTCACTGGTTTGAGGGTGATTTTCACTAATATCATACACAGGATGAGTTCAGTGCTCTGGGCTACCACTGTCCAGCATGGATCCTTGATCTAGAGCTGACCATGTGAGCCAATATGTGGGCTCATCCCTGAATGGTCAGACCAAGGAGCCACCTCTAGTGGAGAGTGATTGAAAGAAGTATGTGTGTCTGCAGACATCCTTTATTCTGGAATCTCCTGCCCTCACCCTGCTGCTGGCACTAGGG